ATCTATTTTAGTGAGTGATGTCATAGATCACAAATATAAGCCTTTAGTTAAACTCAAGGGTTTAACTTCGTGATAAAAGTTGGTGGGGACGCTCTAAGGATAGTGGCTGATGGACCTACAGCTACTTAACCCGAAAGCTTTCTACAGTATAGGGTTTATATTTTCCAAAAATGAGCTCAAACATATTTATTGAACGCTTTCCTATTGTTGAGAACACAAGAGAACCACAGTACACTGATATTTATAGTTACAGACAGATGCCTGCCTTTAGTGCATTATTTATAAAGGGCTCAAAAATATTAATGTATAAAAAATTATGAATAACAGCTGATGTCAACATCAATATCTCCTGCATCCCTAGTATGGACACAGCTTCCATTCCATCAATCCATCCATGCATGGCTTCCCTTTAAGCTGCATCAGTGATTATCCTCCATATTTTATTGGGACACATTTTTAAGCCTGTGTCCTCTGAGTCTGGCTGTCTCTGGGTTGCTGGTGCAGCTATTTCTGAGTCCTGCTGAACTACAAAAGACAAAAAGATATGTTGAATTTTATTATAGCATTCCATATTTTTCCTTGTAAACTTGGAGACATATTTTATTGCATGTTGCATATCCCAGTAAATCTGTTTCACCTTTAATTCTGCAGCTGTCCCTAATTGTGTCTCTGCTCTGCTTAAAAACAGATTAATTAACCTGTCTACCAATATAATGATGCCAGAGAAAATCATTTTCAAGATATCTAGAAGCTCTGCAGTCTGATTCTCTGTTCAATAAGAAAACAACAGATATGTGTTAATTTTGATCTGTAACTCTGAGCAATGGTCCTCTGAGAAGCCCAGCTTTTTAAACATAATTGTACAATCTGCTGCCATTTTTAGCAGTAAAAGCTCCATATGTGTAATAAACAGATTTTTTGGGAGGCATCTCTAACTTTTTTAACCAACACGTCTCCTATCTTTTACTGAAATATATATCGAAGTAGCTGCCAGTTACATTTCACTGAGTGCTGCTGTGTCTCTCCTCCTCCACGTAGCAACTCTGTATGCAGTGAATAACGATCGCAAATAATATTATATCCCAAAGCGACAGATCCGATGATATTTCACAGAGAGGTGGGACTCGAGAGCAGCGGGAGAGCGAGGAAAAAACACGGACTGAAAACGCTCTTAACACAGACAGCTGCACCCAACCCCAGTTACTGTTTGTTGAAGTATCGAGGGGGGGAAGCGGACATTATTGGTGGGGACTGTCCCCTCTATGCCAAAGTTGGAGACATGTCCACAGCAGTCCTTCAAAAAGTTACGCTAGTGGTTAAACTTGTGTTTAGTAAGATTAGACTCCTACTAGGATTGCTAGAAACAATTCTGGAAAGCACCACCTCGTTCCCAGGGGGAAGGATCTGTGGGGCCGTTTCCTGTTTTGCCAGACTTTTGGTGTCTTACGTACTGCTTATATAATCATTGTTATCACACCAAAGATTCCCTAACAGTAAATTCTGCTTAATAATTACAGCCTATTAATTACCATGTGTTGCTTGTAAAGAAAACTGTTAGATTGGCTCTTTATCTCTAATTGTATTGTCAATAGGTAATGTAGCAGCTCCCCAGCACTTGAATTACTCTGCCATTCCCCACGGGTGAATTAAGCTTTTTTTATTTTTTTTGTGATGAAGATCCTCATCACAGTCACCATAGTTACTTTACTCACCATGAAAACTATAACATAAACCACATATACAAATATTAGAATACGAAACATAAATTTACTATAAAAATAACAAAACAAACCTCGCCGCTTTCACCGGCGAATGCTAATTGCTTGCTTTGTGACAAAGGCTTGACGGTTCAAGTCATTCATCAGTACAACGATCCCACCAGCAGTTATAGGGCCTGCCCTCATTTGCTACGGCAAGCCGTGAGGTACAAAAAAAAAAAACAAACAAAAAAAACCTTAAACATTACAAATACCATTAAACAAACCACAAACAATGCTAATCAAAACAGACAGACATCCATAAACAATCATTAAGACAACATTTAGAAAATTCACTTCCAATAATTCACATAAAAAAAAAAATAATGACACAATTCATTTTCAGTAACTCACTAACCATTGCAGGTAAGGTAATCAATATTATCATGTTTGACTTTTTTTTTGCTCTGTCCTAGGATATGGCAGGAGAACATTTCCTTAAAAGATCTTCAGAATAAAGGAGTTTGCCTGTTAAAGCTTCAGATAGGAAGTCAGTCCACGGGCCTGTATGGTCGCACGGTCGTCATTTTAGAGCCAAGAAAGCATCTTGGCTTCTCATCGCTGCCGAGCAACAGTTTTGGACCAGGTGACAAAGAAGAACAATAGAGATGCTGTTGCTTTGCTTTTCAGATTTTCTTAGTGTGATGTCTTTTGTTTCAGGCGATATTGTTGGCCTATATGACACTTCTGGCTGCAGTGCGGAATCACAGATATGCACAGGGATAGTAACAAGGATCAGCCAAGCTTCTATTAGTGTGGCCTTCGATGACCTGAAGGATGAAGCCAGTTTTGATGCAGATGGCCTTTACAATCTCTTGAAACTGGCCAACGATGTTACCTATAAACGGATGAAACGGTGAGTAACGTTTGGAAGGTGAAATATTATGGAAGGGTTTATAAGTCGGCTTTGACCTTTCTTACCTTGATCATATCTTTATCTCTACAGGGCCTTAAATACATTAAATGGATACAGAAACGGACCAGCTGCAAGTTTGATACCTGTTCTCTTCGGTGATGCCCAACCTTCTGCGCACTCACAGTCAAGTAAGTGAATATTGTCACAAACCAAGCTTTAAAGGTCAAAGTATCCCGTTTTAATGTCTATATTATCTTATTGTTTTTTCTGTTTTTTTATCAGACGAGTTGGAGTTCTTTAATTCAGGATTGGATGATTCCCAGAGAGAAGCAGTGTCCTTTGCTCTTTCACAAAGAGAGCTGGCTGTGATTCATGGACCGCCAGGCACGGGAAAAACCACTACAGTGGTGGAGATCATCCTGCAAGCCGTGAAACAAGGCCAGAAGGTGCAAAGAGTTTCAATCGTTTTAGAGCATCTTACGTTTTCAGTTCAATGCAGACCAGATCACAGATGTAACTGTACTCTTGTGCATGTGCAGGTCCTCTGCTGTGCTCCCTCCAATGTTGCCGTTGATAATTTAGTGGAAAGACTTGCCCGCAGCAAAGCCAAAGTCCTGAGGCTGGGCCATCCTGCCAGACTGCTGGAATCCATCCAGAAACACTCGCTGGATGCTGTCCTCGCTTGTAGCGACAACGCAAGCATCATCGCTGACATCCGGAAAGATATCGACAAAGCAATGGTGAATTTTGGAGTTTGTGTTCCTTCTAGGAGGGTGATGCTATACTTCCTTAAATCACTGAAGGAGTTTTGTCATAATTTCCAGGTGGGGATGAAGAAGAAAAGTGAAAAAGGCGAGCGAGGAAACTTTAGACGGGAAATAGGGGAGCTGAGGAAAGAGCTGAGGAGCAGGGAGACGGCAGCCATTGCTCAGATACTGAAGAGTGCTGACGTCGTTTTGTCCACCAACACTGGTCAGTGGAGTAAAGTGTTCATTGTTTATCCTTTAGCAATGAAATAACGGGAGGGTTTGTTTGCAGGTGCATGTGATGACGGTCCTCTGAAGTTCCTGCCAGCGGAGCATTTTGATTGGGTGGTAATCGATGAATGCGCCCAGGCTCTGGAGAGCAGCTGCTGGATCGCGTTACTCAGAGCACGCAAAGCAATCCTGGCTGGAGACTACAAGCAGTTACCCCCAACCATCAAATCACAAACGTAACAAAGTGCAGTTTTAATTTTCATTAACTGTAAAGAGTTCATGTATGATCTTAAATTTATCAAAAACGAATCCATTCTCTTTAACATATACACTCTTCGTCAACTTTGATTTGCACATTTCCACTACCTTGCTAACACTAACATAAAATAAGCCAATCACACAGAAGCTACATAGTTTGTTGAGTCTAGCTGTAGTGAAGATGACTTGCTAAAGTTCAAAGTGAGCATCAGAATGGAGAGGAAAGGATAATTGATTCACCCTGAACACAGCGTGGCATGAAACTACTTGGATTTTATGCCACAATCATTTTTCATCTCGACATAGCATGAGCCGTCCACATGGTTATTAGTTATTAATTATAAAACCTTATTTTACCAGGAAAAACATTAAGAACAGTTTCTTATTTTCGACTTTACAATTTCTTAAAAAACTAAGGCTAACATGGAGAGAGGACAACAAAAAGTTTAACATACATGCAATAAGCAATACCTTCATAGAGTAGAATTACCTGAATCATTAAAAAGGTTGCAAAGTTTGCTTAAAAACAGGAAATGAAACCAGTTTTGAAAGGAGGAACAAATCTTGTATCTTAAAGGTAAATCTGGTTTTAGTAACTGATTTAAGTAAGGAGGTGAAAGATCTAAAAGGGTTTTATAAACAAGCTGAAGCCAGTTGATGATGTCATGTGACGGCAATGAAGGCCACTTAACCTGACAGTACAACAGGTGTGTTTTTAAAAAGGGATATGGATGATTGATCTAGTGGAAGATTGATAGATCATATCCAGTTTTTGCATTCCTGGTGATAGATAATGCTCTGATAATCAAACAAGGGAAGAATACACATTTCAACAAGGACTCTTTTAGCCAAAATGTAAATGGAGAGTTTCACTCAGACAGCCAAGTTCAGTTTTAACTGCAGTTTGCTGCATAGTAATGTTTTGATAGAAAAAAAATAATCTTTCTAACCACATTCCCAAGTATTTGTACCTTGTAACTTAAATTAGGATTGTTTTATCTATTGTGGTGAAGAACCATTATTTTTTTTTACATTGGCCCCTTGATTTTACGTTATTACATCATGTTCTACTCACCCATATTAGTTTTGTGTCATTTGGAGCCATTCTGAAGATATTAGGTTTTGTAATCCAAGTAAAGTCTTCCTATGGGCAACAAGTTGAAGGCACAAACTAAACTGTTCAGAATTTATAATTTATGGTACGGCATCATTCATTATATGTAGGCGAATCACTGTCCCCCAGACATCCGCGGTTCTATTTTATTATATTTTTTAAAAACAAAGCAGAGTGTGTATGATGTCATCCGCACGCTGGACTGGAGTTGTGAAAGGCAGCCCGGGTCACAGGTGGCTACGCTCTACCCCTTCTATTCATTCAGCTAGCTAATCTGAATCGTTCAATTCCAATTGGAGAGCGAGATCATCTGTGGTAGTAGCACTAGACATCTTCCAGGCATGTGAGTAAAACTAGCAGCAGTTCAGCGGACAGGATGAATGAATGGTAGCCGGCGCGGTAGGATGACGTCATACACACTCTGCTTTGTTTAAAAAAATATAAATATAAAAAATATAACCGCGGATGTCTGGAGGACAGTGATTTGCCTACATGTAATGAATGCTGGCGTACCATAAAGAATAAATAATGAACAGTTCAGTTTGTGCCTTCAAGTATTTGCCCCTGGGGAAGACATTACTTGGATATAACCTAACGGAATATCTTCAGAACAGCTCCAAATGACACAAAACTCATATGGGTGAGTAGAATATAATGTAATAATGTAAAATCAAGGGGCCAATGTAAAAAAAAAAAAAAAAAAAAAAAGATGTTCCCCTTTAAGATGGAGAGACTAACTGTTTATGTTTTATTTGCATTAAAGCACAGCTCATGAATAGTCTTCCATCCATCCATCCATCCATCCATCCATCCATCTTCTTCCGCTTATCCGGGGTCGTGTCACGGGGGTAGCAGCTTCAGTAGGGAGGCCCAGACGTCCCTCTCCCCTGCCACTCGGGCCAGTTCCTCCGGGGGAATCCCAAGGCGCTCCCAGGCCAGCCGAGAAACATAGTCCCTCCAGCGTGTCCTCGGTCTCCATATGACAATAGACAATAGTCATCTAGCCATTGAATATTGCAGTACTATGCTGCTTGAAGGCCAGAGCAGGGGATGATCTGTAAAAATATTTTCTGACACTGTGGGGCGCTGCAGCTGAGCATCATTTAGTCATATAGTAGTAGCCATTCAAACTTTCCCCACTTTCCTTGGTTGTTGGCTGGTCCCCTACAATTCCTTTTTAAACATCAATCTTTGTACTAAAATATTCTTTCTATCATGATTTGTGGACATTAAGATCTAATGAGAAGTGTTATCTCCTGGTCAGAACCTGTTGTTCAGTGAAAGGGTGGAGTCAGAGTAAACAAATATGCACCCCCAGGAGAAGGCTGGTGGCTGGAAGTTGGAGAAGATTTTGATGGGAGCTGCAGGGAAGTGGGCTGCCATTTGGCTGGCTTTTGATTGGGAAGGGACATTTTGAATGGCTGCAACTGTAGCAGGCTACCCAAGTTTTGTCGCTAACATCATTAATTGATTTCTGACCACAGAGTGCTTATCCTCTGATGTCTTCTCCCAGCTGGATAAAGTTTCAATAGTAGGAAACTGATTTCTTAAACAGGGAAATTAATATATTGGGCTTCAATCATCTTAACAGGGAAATTAGGAATGTGCAACAACTACATTCAGTAAGGATCAAAATCGCCAGGCATTTATTAATTCTGGCATTTTTAAATGCAAAACTGGTCTCAACCAATACAAGTAAGGTTAATGTAATAAAGTAGCCTCTAAGTGTATTTAAAAGACAAAAATCAGAGTTGATTTTCGCAAATATGCATGTATGTTTTTTTTTTCTGTGTGGAGTAAATTTTGTATTTTTAATTCTGTTTTTTTCCCCCACTCTGTTTGTGTCCATCATAACAGGGCTGCGGCCAAAGGCCTGTCTCTAAGTCTGATGGAAAGACTGATTCAGATGTACGGAGAGTCAGTGGTCCGTATGCTAACAGTCCAGTACCGCATGAACAGTGCTATCATGGATTGGGCCTCCAAGGAGATGTACCATGGAAGACTAACTGCGCACAGTTCCGTGGAGGGACATTTATTAAAGTGAGTTTCCACCCAGTCATGGAATATTCTTCATATTCCCAACAAAGGCAGACTCCTAAAACTTAGAAACCTTTCCTCCAACAGGGATCTACCAGGTGTCACCTGCATGGAAGAGACCAGCATTCCGCTTCTTCTGATCGACACTGCAGGATGTGGTCTGAGTGAACTGGAGATCTCAGACGAGCAGTCCAAAGGCAACCAAGGTAAACCCTTCTTTTCCGTAAGACTTTAAAAATCGCAAACTGATGGATTTATGTATTTAACTTTGGTTGTATCTTCAGGTGAGGTCGACATTGTTGGACTGCACATAAAAAGCTTGACTGAGGCTGGAGTGAAAGCTAAAGACATCGCTGTTATTGCTCCATATAATCTACAGGTAAGTTTCAGATTTTTGCTGCAGATAAAAAAGATGCATCGTTCCATGCAGCTCTTAAACTCAACAATGCAATATATCTACTATATGCTGATGAAGATTCTCAGTCATCCAGGTCATAGTCATGCCATAAAAGTTAAAAAAAACAATCCACTGACTGTTGGGACTGCCTACTTGGCAGTAGGCCAAGTCCAGTGGATTGTTTTTTTTTTATTTTTTTTATTTTACCGAATAGCTACAATATATAACATATTTAGTCATTTATTAACTTCAAACCAAAGCATCACAACTCGCCGGGAGATAACCCTGAGCAATTTTCCCTGGGTTTGTTGACCAGCCAAACAAGGAGTTTTACTCCTTGCTTTTAATTAATTGATCCTAGAAGAACAAGGTAAAAAAAAAAAAAAAATACACACATTGAAGGTGGAACCAAAGCCAGGTGAATAGATTGATGTGAAATAGATGAATCCATATGGGATGGGTATAAGAGGGCCGAAAAGATGAACAGGAGTGGGATCAATAGCTGTGGAATATTTAGGAACTCAAAATATTATTCTCTTGAAAATATTCATTAAACTGTTAACGGTAAATCCACAATAATCTGCAGGTCATTGATACTACCTGTTACTTCATTTTGTTTCCGTCCATCCATTTTCCATTGCGCTCATCCTAAGCAGGGTCGCGAGGGGTGCTGCTGTCAATTGGCAAGACGCGGGGCACACCCTGGACGGGTCGCCATTCCATCGCGCGGCAACACAGAGACAAATACGACAAACAACCATTCACACACAAACTCACACCTAAGGAGAATTTAGAGAAGCCAATTAACCTAACAGTCATGTTTTTGGACTGTGGGAGGAAGCCGGAGTACCCGGAGAGAACCCACGCATGCTCAGGGAGAACATGCAACCTTCTTCCTGCAAGGCAGCAGTACCCGCTGCTCCACCGAGCAGCTATCATTTTGTTTCATGAAATACCAAATTAACCCCCATACCTTAAGGCAAGGCAAGGCAAATTTATTTGTATAGCACAATTCAGTACAAAGACAATGCAAAGTGCTTTACATGATTAAAATACAGGAAGATAAAACAGAATCAAAGCAAGTAGGAAAAAATAAAAAACAAATAAAATAAAATAAAAAATGCAGAAACAAAAAAGAATATTAAAAACAGTTGGACTAAAGAAAATATGTTTTAGTTGAACTGTTTAACTAGGCACTGTAGGCCCCCCCTACTACCGAAACAAAGTTTTTAACATCTTGAATTAAAATAAAAAATTTTGTGTATTTTTTTGTATTTTTTAAATGGTGTTATTCTGTGTTTTGACTTTGTTTCTTCCATTGTGTTTTTATCTTTTGTAAGGTGACCTTGAGTGTCCAGAAAGGCGCCTTTGAAATAAAATGCATTATTATTATTATTATTATTACAACAAACTACATGGTGTGAATTTATTAAAAAAACGAAAATCTTAGTATGACTCTAGAAACAGTTTTTTTTTCACATGAAATAATAAGATTCTTTTTTTCTTATGATCTATTAATGTTAATAAATAAAATGATGCATCATGATATAAACTACTAACAATATTTGTATTCCAACCCCGATGCAAACTCTCCCTGTAATGTTTTTTTTAATTATTTTTCCTTTTTTTTCTAAAGGTTGATCTTCTGCGTCAGAAACTTTCTGCACGGCACCCAGAACTGGAAATAAAATCTGTTGACGGATTTCAAGGCAGAGAAAAAGAAGCTGTAGTGCTGTCATTAGTTCGCTCCAACAGAAAAGGTAATTTCCTAATTTGAATTTCTGTTGCTTTTTTTTTTCTTAACCAAATCTTCACCCATAGTTGTTAAGAACTGGTCATAACGTCCCTCTTTTCCTTTAGGTGAGGTGGGTTTCCTTGCAGAAGACAGACGGATAAATGTTGCGGTTACACGTGCAAGACGCCACATCGCTGTAGTGTGTGACACTCAGACGGTTGGGAATCACGCTTTCCTTAAATCTCTGATCGATCACATGACTGAATTCGGTGAGGTCAGAACTGCATTCGAATACCTCCAAGACATTGTGCCGCAGAACTACACCAGAGACCATAAAGACACAAAGACTGCTACTGCCTGCAAATCTAGCAAACAGAAGAACAGAGACCAGGTTTCAGCTAAAGCAAAGGACGGCCAGAAAACGACCAGCAGCGCTAAGAGCAATACAGCTGGTTCACAGAATCACGCAAAGCAGAACACATCAGCACAAAAAGACCAAAAAGAGTCCAAGATTAGATACGATGAGATCAGAGCACAGGTGGAGAACTTTATGAAGGATGCAAATATGGAGAATTTACAGTTTCCATCATCTTTCAACTCCCATGACCGGCTGCTGGTCCACCAGATCGCTGAGGAGCTGGGCCTGGTTCATGAGAGCAGAGGACAGGGCAGCGACAGGTGCATCACGGTCTCCAGGCCGCTGGCATCCAAGCCTGCCGAGGAGCCAGAGCAGGAGGAAACCCAGGAGGAAGAAACCGCTCCCACTCTGCAGAGCGAGCAAACACCCCAACCTTCATTAGATCTCAAAGCTTTACATCTAGAGAGGATGAGGAGAGAGCAGCAGAAAAGAGAAGAAAACCTCCAGAAAAAAAAGCAAGAGAACAGCACTAATGGAAAAAAGAAGTCTAAAGGTCTGTCTGAAAAACAAAAAACAGTTAAAGTGTTTTACCAAATAGATTATGACTCTGCATTATTTCCTCTCAGGAAAGAGCAAAACGAAGGCAGGTGTGTGTGAGATCGCTGCTGCCGCAGCTCCAGATGATGACTTTGATGCTCTTATCAGCGCGGTCGTGAAGGCGGACAGCGTTTGCAGCTTTGTAAAGTGTAAAGCATCTGTATTAACGCTCGGCCAGCTTTGCCTGTTCTGCAACAGGCAGTTCTGTCTCAGTCATCACATACCAGAGGTAAGGAGCTCTGTGTTGCTTTGAATATATATTTTGCTCCTTTCAATTTCAAGTTAAGCTCCTCTACAAGTACGTTATACACAGTGATATGTTTCAAGCATGTTTTTCTGTTAATCTTGATTATTATGGCTTAGTCAGTTCAAACAACACATTAATAACCTGTTATGGGGATGTCATGTGGAAACTACTCCATAAGAAGGGTGAGGTGGCAGTTTACAAAGAGCTGTATAAAAGGATTATCACAGAAAACTTAGTGGAAGGAAAACAAATGGTACAAAAAGTTTCAAAAGGAATAGCGATAAACAAAGACTTGAATGAAAGTCTCTTAAAGGTATTATGGAGGTTTGTTTTAATAGACCCTCCCTCTCCACTTAAAAATAAAAATGCTTGTGCAAGAGCATAAACGAGCCCATTTCTTCTGGTCCCTGTTTATAATCTGCTGTTCTCATAGCTCATACAAACTTACTGTGTCCACATACAGCGGGGACTATGTAGTGAAATCAGTTAAAGGAATAGTACACCCAAAACATGATTAGCCGTCATTTTCTACTCACACCCATGCTGAACAACACTCTGGAGTACTTTTTTGATATCTCAAATGCATCTGGAGATCTGGGAGGCTTCTTGCTGTCTGCTGACATTCAAATAATGGAGGTCTATGGTGCCCGAGACAGAAAGGTCCATAAAAGTCCACAAAAACGTGTCAATATTCCTCCATACTGCTCGTCCAATGTATTCCAAGTGTCCTGAGTGGGTAGCATCCAGAATTTACTCGAAACGAAGTCATTTAGAATGTTTTTAGAGCATAAACAGTAGTGTATAGGATTTCCTGAAACGACGCTACGGAAGCCGGCACACCAAACCAGATGAAAGTGCGCATTCAGCGTCTGCTCTGCCAATAATGCAAGCGTAGAAGAAGAAATGTGCTGTTTACCTGTGCAAAGAAAGAAACAACGAAAGAAAAATGTCTGAGGACTTCAGTGTTGAGGAAGAGCATGAGTTCTTTGCCGAGCCGAATGCGCTGGCTTGGTCTGCCGGCTTCCGTAGCGTCGTGAACGCGCATGTGCGCGCTTTCAGGAAATCCTATACACTACTGTTTATGCTCTAAAAACATTCTAAATGACTTCGTTTCGAGTAAATTCTGGATGCTACCCACTCAGGACACTTGGAATACATTGGACGAGCAGTATGGAGGAATATTGACACGTTTTTTGTGGACTTTTGGACCTTTCTGTCTCGGTCACCATAGACCTCCATTATTTGAATGTCAGCAGACAGCAAGAAGCCTCCCAGATCTCCAGATGCATTTGAGATATCAAAAAAGTACTCCAGAGTGTTGTTCAGCATGGGGGTGAGTAGAAAATGAAGGCTAATCATGTTTTGGGTGTACTATTCCTTTAACTGACCGTTCAGACAGATGATCACTGCTTTTTGCCCTGTTGGGCAAAATTGCCCCATAACTCCTCCTCCACTGCGCATTGCCTGCGCCATCTTTGTTACTAGGCAAGGCAATGCAAGGCTAAATTTATTTGTATAGCATAATTCAGTACAAAGACAATGCAAAGTGCTTTACATGATTAAAATACAGGAAGATAAAACAGAATCAAAGCAAGTAGGAAAAAAAATACATAAAATAAAAAATGCAGAAACAACAAAAGAATATTAAAAACAGTTGGAAGTTTTTGTTAGATTACATTTATACTAGTCGCCACTGTAGCGACAGCAGGCCGCTGTGACAGCAAATCCCATAATGCTTTGCGAGGAAGGCTCCATGCAAAGCAAAGGTATATGAGGTACCACTGTCAAATGTTAAACCAGTCCTGAACCAAAGACATCAACAAACCACATAAGCTGAAGGTTTTTCTTGAAGCAACCTGTGCTTCTATAACTCATCAGCAACCCAAATAAAATATCCTGTTTTATTTGGGTTAATTGATTGAAGTGGTTTTATGTAATACCATACCAACTTTATTGATAAAGCACTTTATACACCGACAGGACCAAAGTGCTGTACACGATCAAAAAATACTATGCAATTATAAAATACAAATGATCGAATCTAAAATACATAATAATATACAGACACAATAAAAAGTATAAAAGTGAAACCTCTCAGATTGTGCCAAAGGCCAAGGAAAAAATAAGAAAGAGACTTAAAAACGGTGAGTAAAGAGGCTCGTCTTATGCCCAAAAGGAGATCATTCCATTGCTTGGGAGCTGCCACAGAAAAAGCATGATCCCCTCTGAGCTTGCACTTCGTCTTTGGTTCCTTCAGAAGCAAGATCAGCTGACCCAAGGGGACGGGAGGGTGTGTAAGAATGTAACAGCTCAGACAGATGGGGAGGGGCAAGGTCACTAAGCAAAAAACAAAAAAATGCACTGACAACCAGTTTAAAAAGCTAAAATAGAGGATATGTGGTCAAATTTTCGTGTATCTGTTAAAAGACGTGCAGCAGCATTTTGTACTCTTAAGCTGGGAAATATAAATCATTGACTCCAATATAAAGTCCATTACAGTACACAAATGCATGGATCACTGTTTCAAATGCTTTGGCTGAATAAAATAATGTAAGAGTTTCACTTTTTCAATTAAATTCCAAAAAAAGAAATGAACTTTTTTATTGATTTTTGTAATTTATTGAGAAGAACCTGTGTTCTGAGTCATTTTGTTTGGTGTTTTAGGTTCACGGCTGTGGAGATAAGGCAAAGTCTCATGCTCGGATGAGAATAAGCAAAGAGGGGGTTCTTTACGCTGGCAGCGGGAAGAAAGACAAATCTTTGGACCCCAACAAGAAAGCCTATCTGCAAAGAAAACTGGACTCTAAGCTAAAAGACATGGCATCACAAAGGAAACCAAAAAACAAGGAGAATGACACTTAATCTGATCAAAACAGCTTTATAGTTTATTTAATGTGCAGACTTTCTTCTGACTGAATAAAACAGCTCATGCATTCATCATCAAACAACGTGCTATTTGGTTTTAATTTTGTCAAAATAGTTAGATAAACTTTTGTATTTGTCATCTTAAAACTCTAACACCAGTCCCACTTTTCTATAGGGATGTGTGCGTTCCTCCTAAGCATTCTCTGGAACCACTTTCATTGACACAGGGCATATGGTGAGTGGGATGGAGTTTTTCCACTCCTCGCATAATCCAACGGAGAAGTAGGGATAGATTTTCTCTGAGAATTTCTCTTTGAACCTGTGCATCACAGCTGAGTCAGCAGCGTTGACGAAGGCCACCTTTCCTTTCTCATAGTCCACCTGGATGGTAATCTTCTTAGGCACCTGCTTCACCGAGACCCTGCTGCGAGGAGAGGTCTGAACCCAGATGGAGTCTTTGCTGCACTGGCCAATCACCCAGTAACCCTCCTCTGGGCTCATGAAGGTGGTGCTTTTCCTTTTAATGGACTCCCGGGCCACCCCGATGTACCAATCTTTGCTTTGGCCCACCTCTATGGTCCAGCTGTGCTTCCCAGATGTAAACCCGCTGGCTCCCAGCACACACATGCGGCTGGTGCAACGTTCAGGGTTATCGGGTAGATTCTGCTTATTGCTGTACTGCAGCCGGGTCAGCTCTTCAGACAACTTCAGGTTGTAATGGGCCGTGTTTGGGTCCAGAATAACCGAAGCTGTGAAACATGACCTTCAGTTAGTCTATGGGTTTTAAAAGCCTTAAACTAAATCAGCTTTGAGTTCACTCACTTAGACAACTTTAATTATCATTTTGCATACACAGTGTATACAAAACAAAATTTTGTCTCAGACGGTAAATGAGCAGCAGCGTAGGGGCCTGTCACAGCTTGACGATTTAGACCCACGTATGCCTGACATATGAAAAATCTGGCAAAAACACTAGGTACATTTTGTATAAGTTATGAGCATGTTGAAACATGCTGGCGCACGGCAAAATTTTTTGACGTATGCCATACGTGGGGCATAGGTTACGGGTAAGTTATCTGACCGTTGACATACGTTAAATGTAAGTTACTGATAAGTTGTGGTGTCTAGCTTATCCAAAACCTATGAGTAACTTGTGCATAACGTATCAAGAACTTATCTCCAACGCATATCAATGTATTTGACGTGTTCTAGATTCAATTCAGTTTATTTATATAGTGCCAATTCACAACATATGTCATCTCAGGGCACGTTACAGTTTACCAGATCATACAGTCAAACTGAAAGTTTTCTATCTAAGGAAAACTAGTTGATTGCATCGACTCATTGAATCGAATGCAGTCCCTCACACTACGCATGCTTGTAGCGACAGTGGAGAGGAAAAACTCCCTTTTAACAGGAAGAAACCTCCATCAGAGCCAGGCTCAGTGTGAGCGACCATCTGCGAAGGCCGAGTGGCGTTCAAGGAGACAGAAGCAGAGATAAAAAAATAAATAAAAATCAGCTATAAAAGGCGGTCCCGTCCAGGAAACACACAGTCAGAAGAGAGCACATCCAGCCTGTCGCAGTCAGAGAAACAGGACTACACTGTAAAAACAGGCCAATCTCCAACAGCTATAAACAAAGGTGTTTATGGCAGCAGCACAGCTGATATTTCTCTCCAGGGTGGAGTCAAAGCCAAACAGGAAGAAACGAGGCAAAGCTACAATGAGAAAAAGCAGAGAGAGCATAACGTTTGAGATTGAACTAACAGATTCTGCAGAGTGGGAGAATAGAGATAGAATGAAGCAGAATGATGAAATAGGGGTCCCTATGTCCTCCAGAAGTCTAAGCCTATAGCAGCATAACTATATAGATAGCTCAGGATAACCTGAGCCACTCTAACTATAAGCTTAATCAAAAAGGATGATCGCTGAACGTGTTTCTACCTTAGAGCTACTGTATACTGGCATATTGGCAGCGCTTTGGTATAAAAGGGGGTTCACAGGAGGAAACCCTCAGTTCTCCTCCAAACTGAATCCCCTTCATAGGGTGAGTTAGAAGATGAGTGTGATGGATCCTCCTTGCGTTCATAACGTTTAGCGTTTTCTTTTTTCTTTATTATTTTATTTTTGCGCGTGGTAAACAGCAGCTATGTTAATACTGCGACCAAAGAAATCTTTTCATGCAGGCCGGGCGCCTCCGGTCGCATTGTTGCAAGGTGTGACAGGGCCCTTTAGCAGTGACATGAACATTTCCATTCCATAAAGTGTAGCAGTGATCAAATGTAAACAGTGTGTGTAAATACAGAGCATTGCAAGACATATGTGGGGCAAAAATGCCCCACATATGTCTTGCAATGCACCAAAAAACTTTATTTTTTTTTAAATTAGTTCTTTTTGGTTTGGTGCTATCAGTGTGTTATCACTCACAGTATTTAACAGTTGACAACATCTTCTTGCAAACTGCGAACTTGAGTATTCCCAGATGCTTGGCTGAATCTATCAAAATGCCTCTGATGCTCTCGGGCTCCTGGATGTTGCGTCTGACTCTGGAACATGTTAAAATCAATCCAACACTACTACATAACAATTAAAATCTATTTTAGCAGACATGGGGTTTTACATACCTTTGCTTTGTTTCCTTGTATTCCTAAATTTGAAGAAAGAATGGGGGAAAAAAAAACAATGTATTATTTTTCATTAGAAAAAAGACTTAATGTGTGGTTGATTCATGGTTATTGGGGAAATATCCGAAGAGTACCCATGTATGCAAAGAGCAATGGGCCCTCCGCTGAGAGGTTTTCTATGCATAACTTCAAGAGCCCTACTCTCATCATTTTTAGCCTTTTTGTTACACAAACTCTATGATTCGGTTTTAATACTTTACTCTCTAACCAGTTGATGATTTGCATCATTACACCCACATCTTATTCCTTTAGCAGGACTGCACAATGCATTATGAGCTTCAAGCTTGAGCGTTTCCAGCAGCACTACTGACACAGTCACTGTATGTTATACAGGTTGATTAGTATTCTATATAAATCTATTGTAAAGCAGAAAGATTACATCTTTATACGGTGATTAGCAAAGCATTTTATTCCCTGTGAAGTTTTTCACCTGTCAATTATAGCCTCAAAGTGATTTGTGATAAGGGATTTTTAGGTGAAAGATTAAAAAATTGCTTATGATTGTACATTGTTAAGGAAATTATGCAACGTCTTTAAATTGTTTTCCAAAAACAAATCTGAAAGCCGAAATGTTCAGTTTAAATCTTGACTCAGTTGACTCTAAACTCCTTCCAACGGAAGCCAAAATGCCCAAGTTATAAAAACAAATCTTAACAGACATCATTTTTTTTGTCTGCCTCCTAAGCATTAAACTGAATTTGCAAAGTTTTTAAAAAAAACGAATGAGTATTAAGTGATTTCTCTCACACTCCTTTAAAAAAGTTAGCAGCAGGAGGGCTTTTCCAAGCTAATGTATGTTGTACACATGAAAAAACTCAGATTTGAAATTCATAACATTCTGTTTCTCTGGTTAATTTCTAGAACATGTTTGGTAGTTATGATCCAGTAAAAATCCTACATTATGTTGTTTTTTTTCTTTCATATTTTGATTTGTATCATAGCAGCAAGCAGGTTACAGAGAGGCATTGCTGATTTTGGGAAGAAGCTTTACCAAATCAATCCAATCCAGATTAAAGCATTACTCCTTTTTGGAGTCATTTTAATTGAACCTTAACGTTATTTGTTTAGATATCAAAGTAACTGGTGTCATTTTCTTGCAGCTTGTTTCCACTTAGTGAGCTATTTTTCAGTTTGTTAATGTATCTTTTGTATAAAGACATTTTAGAGCACATAATAGGAGATTGTCGAATCAGTACGTAAAATCAAATGAATCTAACCGTTTAAGTAAAGAAGCATTTAAATGTACCTTTAAAAACGGTAAATCCTTTGCTCTGAGCACTATGTCTAGTTTGCTGATAGTGGAGTTGAGAGTCTTTATATCCTCTTCGATATCTTCAATCTTGGAATACATGACCTGGATTTTTTTCCCCTTTTCCTCTCTTAGATCCCTCAGTCTTCTCTCCTCTTCCTCCTTGAGGAACTGGTGAAGCTGCAGAAATTCCTCCTTCACTGCCAACTCGATTTGCTCACCTTGAGTCTGTAATGAAAGAGCAGGCTGGTTATTCAGCATTTTCTCAGATGGAGATAAAAACCTTTCCAGTCCTCAATAAGGAAGGTGACTGTAAAGCTCAACATAAAGATTAAAAGAGTAGGTTTGGGGAAATAATCCAGGAAAAAAGAACATCTCTAAAGCTTTTACCTCCAAGTAGGCTTTAGTTTCCTCCCATTGGTGCTTTGTTTTACTCATTGTTCTCACTTTTTTTCTTAAGGACTCAAGGATGGCAGTCATTTCCGCCTGAAATGAGAATCGTAAAACACCTTTTAAAAACATTGATGTCTTATATATCAAAATGCAGCTCTTATACGGAAATGAGATAGAGATTCCAGTTTATTATCATTCAATTGTGATATTTTGGCAAAGAAAAATCACTCAAGCATAAGAATTGTCATTATCCTCCCATGCATAATTTTTGCTTGCTTCACTCTGACTGTACCTTTTTCTGTTGAGCTGCTTCCTCCACCGGACTGCATTTATGCATCCTATGGTCCTTAGATAGCTGGCAGACCAGACAAATGGGCACCTCATCGCTGTTGCAGAAGATCTTCAGCTTCTCGTTATGAATCTGACATATCTCCTGAGCCATAGCCTTTCTTTTTTGAAACTGTTCCACAGCTATCGTCAGATCTTGGTTGATGGGAGGCGTCCCACAGAAAGACTCACAGCCGCACACGGGGCATTCTTTACTTTTTTTCCATTCCCAAAAATTTTGCAGGCAGAGTTTGCAAATGTTGTGTCCACATTCCAAAAGTACTGGAAATGAATAAATGTTGGTACATTGGGGGCAAGATATCTCCTCCTCCTCAGATGTTCTAGTAGATAACATGTCGACGGCTGCCTACAGAATGATAAGGAAAGAAAATGTCCTCGTTGCTTGGAGGAGGTGTAATTCCAGTAAACGCTGCTCAGCTGGTTGAGCAGGTTCAGAATCCAACCATTTCTAAGCTTCTACGTCATGATTATATCAAGACTTTTCTGTAAAGCTGTTTCTCTAATAGGAACGAAGAGAATTTGAAAGTAAAAACACACATTTACTGTAACTGACCTTTATTTTCAAAAATTAAACATGTCCTTATGAGACAGAGTAACATGGTATCACTATATATCCCAACTGTATATTTGAAGCCTGAACTCATCATGACTAAAAAAGAAAACAAGTCAGAAACAGAGGTTGTGGCATTGCTGCTCTTGTTTTCAAAGACTGGAGGCAAAAACAGAGGTAGTTTATATGGTTAAAGGAACTGGCAGAAAAATCTCTTTCTTCTGACTACAAGCATTAACTTTAAATAAAATCTATCTTAGCAGGTACACACAATGAGTCATCATTTTTTTAAAACATCAAACAAGAACCAGTTTGTATTCAGAGGGAAAATCAAGTTTCCTGAAGTCCAGAGAAACACATCATTGTGCAGAAATGGTAAATTAGTTGGCTATAAAGGTGAACTTCCCTTCATCATCATGTAGAGCGTGTAAAACAAAGACATTAAAAGGTCATTTCAAGGTTCCTCCACATTTTTTTCTATTTAAATATTCCAGACAAAAAGTCCTTTATCCTTAACTTTAAAAGATAAAACACTTCAATGTTCTTCAGATATTTCTATAATTTGTGAATTTATGAAGAAACAAGGAAAAACAGAGGAAAAAGGACATGAAGGTGAAAGAAAATCGTGTAAAGGAAAGGGAGACATAAAGAAGAAGAGCAAACTAAATAAGGGAAAGGCAAAATGAGAGAAGCTGTGCGAAGAGAAAGCTAAAAAAAAAAAGGGTATATGGGCAAGGAAGTGAGAAAGGACAGAGGATGAGATGACAGCGCATTTAAACAATGCAAATGGAATAAAGTCTGTAAATAAGCGTATACTTTATGTCTTAAAACCTGGGAAATATACAAATTAAATGAGATTTTTTTTCCAGACTGTGTATGAACCCTATGAAGTAAAGGCTGACGTTCTGAGGGGAAATAGCCGCAGTAGAACACCTTCTACTTTTGGTGCACAGACTCCAAATTAACCGATTTTAAAGACACCTAACCACAAAAAGAAGCCTTTTTTTAAGGGAAGGATAATATTTTTCCTACATATAACAAAAACGCGAAAAAATAAATCCTTTACATGGAATATAAAATATAAAACGCAAGGACTATTAAGAAATACTCTAATAAACAGTTAAATAAATAAATACATTGCTTTTCAATGTTATACTATTGCTTAGTTACATGTTTAGCTGTTTTTGGCTCTGTTAATCAAAAAAGCCAATCCTATTTTCACCATTTTCCCCCAGTGATATAAACAAACAATCAAATAATGCATTAAACTGAATTTTATCCCCCTCCCCTAAGAAGCTGTGTATCTACATGATTGTTTGCAAGGCCCTTCTTCCCCACTAAAAATAAAGAAAATAATTATATCACAGCTGCATGAATCATTTTTTGTAAAGACATACTAGTTTTTCAATGCTTAAGAGATTTTAGTTAGCTTTAGAAAAATATAATACATTAAAATACTCAAATGTTTACCAGAAAATGACAAGAAAACACTATGTACATGAATTAAAAACAATAATAAAACCATTACATCCAGGCATGACTGTGCTGTCACGTGAAAAGCAGTTGCTATTAAAAAACAAAGAAAAAGATTGAGGTGAATTTTGACAATACGCATGGTTTGGTTTGTTTGTTTCTTTTAATATCAGACTTATTCTTTCATAAATAAGTTCATCCCATCTTTTAAAATAGCTCTTAAACAAACATGAGCCAGAACAAGAATAA